ACCTCACTAACACACACTAACAACCCACTAGCACACACTAACACCCCACTAGCACACACCAACACCTCACTAACACACACTAACACCTCACTAACACACACTAACACCTCACTAACACACACCAACACCTCACTAACACACACTAACACCCCACTAACACACACCAACACCTCACTAACACACACTAACACCCCACTAACACACACTAACACCTCACTAACACACACCAACACCTCACTAACACACACTAACACCCCACTAACACACACCAACACCTCACTAACACACACTAACACCTCACTAACACACACTAACACCTCACTAACACACACCAACACCTCACTAACACACACTAACACCCCACTAACACACACCAACACCCCACTAACACACACCAACACCCCACTAACACACACTAACACCCCACTAACACACACCAACACCTCACTAACACACACTAACACCCCATTAGCACACACCAACACCTCACTAGCACACACCAACACCCCACTAACACACACCAACACCTCACTAACACACACTAACACCCCACTAGCACACACCAACACCTCACTAACACACACTAACACCTCACTAACACACACTAACACCTCACTAACACACACCAACACCTCACTAACACACACCAACACCCCACTAACACACACTAACACCTCACAAACACACACTAACACCTCACAAACACACACCAACACCTCACTAACATCTCACTAACACCTCACTAACACACACTAACACCTCACTAACATCTCACTAACACCTCACTAACACACATTAACACCTCACTAACATCTCACTAACACCTCACTAACACCTCACTAACACACTAACACCTCACTAACACACATTAACACCTCACTAACACCTCACTAACACACACTAACACCTCACTAACACCTCACTAACACACATTAACACCTCACTAACATCTCACTAACACCTCACTAACACACTAACACCCCACTAACACATACTAACACCCACTAACACCACACTAACACCTCACTAACACCTCACTAACACACACTAACACCCCACTAACACACACTAACACCCCACTAACACCCACTAACACATACTAACACACACTAACACCCCACTAACACATACTAACACCCACTAACACCCCACTAACACACACCAACACCTCACTAACACACACCAACACCCCACTAACACACACTAACACCTCACTAACACACACTAACACCCCACTAACACCACACTAACACATCACTAACACACACTAACACCTCACTAACACACACTAACACCCCACTAACACACACTAACACCTCACAAACACACACTAACACCTTACAAACACACACCAACACCTCACTAACATCTCACTAACACCTCACTAACACACAGTAACACCTCACTAACATCTCACTAACACCTCACTAACACACATTAACACCTCACTAACATCTCACTAACACCTCACTAACACCTCACTAACACACTAACACCTCACTAACACACATTAACACCTCACTAACACCTCACTAACACACATTAACACCTCATTAACATCTCACTAACACCTCACTAACACACTAACACCTCACTAACACACATTAACACCTCACTAACACACTAACACCCCACTAACACCCACTAACACATACTAACACCCACTAACACCACACTAACACCTCACTAACACACACTAACACCCCACTAACACACACTAACACCCCACTAACACATACTAACACCCACTAACACCACACTAACACCTCACTAACACACACTAACACCCCACTAACACATACTAACACCCACTAACACCCCACTAACACACACTAACACCCCACTAACACATACTAACACCCACTAACACCACACTAACACCACACTAACACCTCACTAACACCCCACTAACACCTCACTAACACACACTAACACACACTAACACCCACTAATACACACTAACACCTCACTAACACACACACCACTAACACACACTAACACCCCACTAACCACACCAACACCCACTAACACACACCAACACCTCACTAACACACACCAACACCTCACTAACACACACTAACACCACTAACACCCCACTAACACACACCAACACTCACTACACACACTAACACCCCACTAACACACACCAACACCCCACTAACACACACCAACACCTCACTAACACACACCAACACCTCACTAACACACACTAACACCACACTAACACCCCACTAACACACACCAACACCTCACTAACACACACTAACACCCCACTAACACACACCAACACCTCACTAACACACACTAACACCTCACTAACACACACTAACACCTCACTAACACACACCAACACCTCACTAACACACACCAACACCCCACTAGCACACACCAACACCCCACTAACACACACCAACACCCCACTAACACACACCAACACCCCACTAACACACACTAACACCCCACTAACACACACTAACACCCCACTAACACACACCAACACCCCACTAGCACACACCAACACCCCACTAACACACACCAACACCTCACTAACACACACTAACACCTCACTAACACACACTAACACCTCACTAACACACACTAACACCTCACTAACACACACTAACACCCACTAACACCTCACTAACACACACTAACACCTCACTAACACCACTAACACCTCACTAACACTACTAACACCCCACTAACACCTCACTAACACACACTAACACCCACTAACACACACACTAACACCTCACTAACACACACTAACACCCCACTAACACACACTAACACCCCACTAACACACACTAACACCCCACTAACACCCACACCAACACCTCACTAACACACACTAACACCCCACTAACACACACTAACACCCACTAACACCCCATTAACACACACTAACACCCACTAACACACACTAACACCACACTAACACCTCACTAACACACACTAACACCCCACTAACACATACTAACACCCACTAACACCACACTAACACCTCACTAACACCCCACTAACACCTCACTAACACACACTAACACCCACTAACACCCACTAACACCCCATTAACACACACTAACACCCACTAACACACACTAACACCCCACTAACACACACTAACACCACACTAACACCTCACTAACACACACTAACACCCCACTAACACACACTAACACCCCACTAACACCTCACTAACACACACAAACACCCCACTAAAACATCACTAACACACACTAACACCCCACTAACACCTCACTAACACACACTAACACACACTAACACACACTAACACCCACTAATACACACTAACACCTCACTAACACACACTAACACCCCACTAACACATACTAACACCCACTAACACCACACTAACACCTCACTAACACACACTAACACCCCACTAACACCTCACTAACACACACTAACACACACTAACACACACTAACACACACTAACACCCACTAACACACACTAACACCTCACTAACACTCACCAACACCCCACTAACACCTCACTAACACACACTAACACCTCACTAACACACACTAACACCTCACTAACTCCTCACTAACACACACTAACACCTCACTAACACACACTAACACATACTAACACCTCACTGACACACACTAACACACACTAACACCTCACTAACACCCACTAACACACACTAACACCCCACTAACACACACCAACACCTCACTAACACACACTAACACCCCACTAACACACACTAACACCCACTAACACCCACTAACACACACTAACACCCCACTAACACCCCACTAACACACACTAACACACACTAACACCCCACTAACATTGGCCCTAAATCGTCAGTACAGTGTAGCAGATTACCTGAGCACACTGACTGACCCTAAACTGAGGTCCACCTTGATGAAGTACAGACTCAGTCAGCACCGCCTGGCCATAGAGACGGGCAGACACAGGAAGTCTTGGCTGCCAAAAGAGGAAAGACTGTGCCAGCAGTGCCAGCAGAACAGGCCTGAGACAGAGCTGCACTTTCTGACTGAATGTACCAAATTTACTCAGATTAGAACAGAATTCTTCAGTAAAATCACCAAAACATGTCCTGTGTTTGAGAACTCTGAGGGACAGTGAGTGACCACACCATGTCAGAGATACAGACCTATGAACACATACATTCTGCTTATTATTATTATTATTATTATTATTATAACACCTGTTATATCTGTTATTGCTTTTTGTATATGTTGTACTTTGTTCTTAATCTCCCTACAAAAGCTTTGGCAATACAAGTGTTAATATTTGTCATCCCATTAAAGCAACATTGAACTGAATTGAACTGAGAGAGAGAGAGAGAGAGAGAGAGAGACAGAGAGAGAGAGAGACAGACAGACAGAGACAGAGAGAGAGAGAGAGAGAGAGAGAGAGACAGAGAGAGAGAGAGAGAGAGACAGAGAGACAGAGAGAGAGAGAGACAGAGCTTTAACTCAGTCATAGCTCTACAGTTCTACAGTGAACTGGATCCCCAGTCTCTAATGACCAGGTGCAGCTGCTCACCTGCCGTCCAGCCAACACCACCAACAACAACGCGGACACAACAAACACTGAATTCCGTCTTCGTAAATGCACCATCGTCATATTTGTTCCATAAACCCTGCGGCCACTCAGAGTCGCCATGTAAAGGTAACGTTATTAGTGTTTCATTTTTGGAGCAGAAAAAAGAACAAAGTCAGAAAAGGCTGATCTTCCAGCGGCGCGAGCGGCTGATCGATCAGCCCCGCTCATCGATTCTCCTTTTACCGCACATTTTAGTGTTTCCTCAATTCGCCTCCCAGAAAGACCGAATTCTGGCAGATAAACACTTTAATGAACTGAACATCATCAGTTTAAACACCCTCACAGCTCCTCGCTCGACTCTCCGCTCCACCTTAAACGGTGCAGTGGTTCACCCATTTAAGGTGGAACGGGAAAGTCTATTAGCCTGAATGCTAACTCCGCTAGCTCACCTGCTGCCCGCGTGAAGTCCCGCGGCGCGTTCAGCTTCCGCCCCCCCTCCATCTCGACCCGCGATTAACCGGCGATATTCAATAATTTATGATCTTAGTGTTTATTTATCAATATTCAATCATTTATGATTTTAATCTTTATTTTTATTTTTGATCCGCGCGAAACGGAGCTTCAAACACAGCGCGGCGGAAGTGTCGCCATGGCGCCGGTCACTTCCGCTCCCTGACAGGAAGCCGGGCTCGAAAAACAAAACATTCATAAACATTAAAATAAATAAATAAATAAAAAACGGGCACAAATCTGACAATCGATTCAGTTTTTAGCTGAATTAAAGTGATTTATTAAGTCTTTTAAAGGCCTCAGCAATAAAAAGCTGCTAATATTCGGTTTGTTTAGTTTTTATTGATTTATTTATTATTTTGTGTTTAGTTGTTGAATAAATCTGTAGTTATATTTAATATTAATGTCCTTCTGTAAGATTATCTGCGTGTTAATAAAAAAGCGCCTCATAAAGGCACCTAAAAATAAACAAAAGTGTTGAGAAACAAACAAAATACACAAACAATAAAAAGACTCATATCATTGTCGAGTCTGAGGCTGAGACTCGGTTCAATCTGACAACATAGCAAATATGAAAACACTTGACTGAGGTTCAAAGCTCTTCTGGGACTCCAAGCTGGTCTGGGAAGCTAAATAAAACCAAAACACTAAAATGATCAGCCAATATAAACAAAATGGAGAAAAGGATCAATCAAACCAAATTTTCCACCCCAGATTTAGCGCGACCTTCCACACGGCGCCGTAGCGAAGATCCGGATGTGGTTTAATGAGTTTCAGATCAGTTTTGTGGATTTATTTACAGAAAACATTCGACTTCATGTTTGTTAGCTACGTTAGCCTCGTAGCTCCAGCGCTAAACTAAAGAATCAGAATTCAGACTCCAAATGGTTTCCGTCCGATTTAAGTTGAAATCTGATCATTTTGTCCGTCGGGAAAGTCGAATTGGATTACCGATTTACCGTCTTAATTAGCTTAAAAGCCACTGAGACACGAAAAAGTTGTGTGTTCATCGCTGGAGCTTCGAGAGCCAGAATTCCATACTGGTCTAAACTGGTTTAGCTGGTCACCCAGCATGATCACACTGCTTGACCAGCAAACCAGCATCTAAACACACGTGCTGGTCTGCGCTGGTTTGTCTGGCGGGCGAGTCTCACTGTGAGCTGGACTCTAACAGGACAGTGTTCAGACAGCAGAGCAGAGTAACACACACCAACACAGCTTCCCCACAGAGAAGAACAGAGGACTTTTATTCTGTAGTTGCTGAAGTATCTTTAAAAGAGTAGCTTTACAGAAGACGGCAAAACACTCCTAACTTTCAGGCTAAGTTGATGCTGTAGTGTCTGGAGTTCTATATGTTCTGTTTTTGCAGGTTTGGAATGTTTAAGTTAGGGGGCCCCTGGTCCAAAGGCCCCATAGGGAGGGGCCCCTCTCCTTTCCTCTCTTGGTTCCAGACAGATGAGATCATTTTAAAAAGGACCATATGTTCTGTTACCTTTTGCGAAAACAAGCACCCTATATAGGCAGTAGGCTATATTAGTCTGGAGGGGACACTTCAGAATTGGCACGGATCTCAGGTACTTTACAGTGCTCGATATGAGACTGTTTAACTTTGTAATAAACATCTTATACAAGCGAGACGGTGTCAGCGGAGTCTTCATCATCTTCACATCATCGCCATTTAATAAACAACATTGCAAAACAATTAAAATAAACTACAGATGTGAACGCTGTGAAGCGGAGTGTCCATACGGGGCCCCTCAGTGGACAGAGTGAAAATAACACTTATTTTGAGGGAACGTTTTAAATTTCCATTTTCTCCAGAAAAGTGTTTTTATATGTTACGATTGATTATGTAACTCCTGCACCGTTTAAGGCGGAGCCGGAAATTTAAATAACGGTGTTAAAAAGAAGGCTGGGCCATTAAAAGTGGGCGGGGCTGAAATTGGGGGGGTGATGATGATGAGGGGCAGCCGGATTCGCCTCCTGTGAAGAGTCAGCCAACCGTCCACAGCACTTCCTCCATCAATCTGGAGAACCCTGTTCTTTGGGTGCTGATGGTTCTATGAAGAGACATTTTCTCCACTGAAGAACCTTTGAAGAACCGTGTTTTTAAGTGCGTGTCTGAACGCTCCGCCCAGCTGAGCGCAGGTTTAATGAAGCGGAGCCGGTTTAATCAGAGCTGATCCGGTTCGGTTCGGCTGTTACTCAGTCGAGCGTTTCCTCCTTACAGTTTGGAGTAGAACTGCTGGGTGGAACCGGAGCAGCTCAGAGGAAGACTGGAAGACTGGAACGCTGTGAGGCTGTGAGGAGGCTGGAACGCTGTATTACGGCTGCTGGACTGTTTGAGCAGACTGCGTGTAGAATTGGGACACAGCCTGCAGTGGAAGGAGGTTCAGCTCCTGCTCTGCTAGCGGCTGTTTCTCTCTCATCTCTCCACTCCTCTCTCTCTCTTCATCCCCCTCTCCCCCGCAAGACACCCCTGACCCCTTTCTTCATCCACACACCCTGCGTGCTGGAGGGTGAGTTAGTGAGAGCTGACGGAGTCTGGAGGCGGTGCTGATGCAGAACGACAGGCAGTGACATCATCTCCTCCTCAAGGAACCAACTGGAGCCTGAGAACGTTCTCCCTCAGATCACTCTAGATCATTTTACATCAGCGCACACACACACACACACACTCACACACACGCACACACTCTCACACACACTCACACACAAAAACGCCACATCACATCATCTCTGCTTTAACCCCCCAAAACACACTGAGGGTTCCAAATCCTGAGAGGGAGAACAAAAGGAAAGAGATCAAAGAAAAGCAAGCGAGAAGTGAGAGATCGAAGAGAGTAGAGAACAAGATAGACACTAAAGAAAGAAATGAGGGAAGAAAAGAAAGATGATAATAATAATAATAATAATAATAATAAAGTGAGGTTCTGTGATTAAACAGCTAAATGTTCTTTCAGTCAGAATTAAAGCTTACATTAAACGGGAGCACTGAAGGGCAATCCCACAGGTTTTTCAAATTTCTGCAGTGATGTAAACATCAGTGTTTATTAATATCTGCATTAAAGCGAATCATCAGACTGTCTCAGTGAGTGAAAACGGCTCAGTCATCATGTCCAATACTTCTCTTTCTGAAACAGCTGGAAGAACCAGAGCAGATCATCTGACCTGCTAACAGACCTTTCAGTACCTGTTTAAGTATCTGTTTTATTTTGTCGGCGGATCATTTCGACAATTTTTTATCCCAAACTAGGATTATGGGTAAAAATGTGCAGAAACAGGCGGAATAATCCCAACGTTCCTTCTGTCTCATAATGAGAAATATCAGACGTGCTGACTGTGTTTAAGATGTTTTCACTTCAGATCTTCCTTTACAGTGTAAAGTAGCAGTCATTTTACCTAAAGGGGAACTCCACCCATTTTTCAAAATTCCCCCATAATTCAGTGAGTGAGGTGTAATCAGAGAGATTCAGAGTGGTTTGGTGTGAAATGGTTCAGATGTCTTTACAGTGGTGGTGATAGGAACCAGGGGTCGCCATGACTACAACACAGATATAGACATTTTATTTACTATCCAGAACCACCAGTGAACCTACACGAGTCTTCTGAGTTTATATGGAATGTTGATGATGGAAAATAGTGGAAAATCTGAAATAATAAGTTTTCTTTGGGACTATTTTGCCTCACAGCGCCCTGCATGTCTCCCTCCACCATGAATGGAGTTTAAGTTCTCTAAACGATCATAAAACAGTGTCTCAGTCATCAGGCAGTGATTCATAACCATTTCATGTAGGAACTTTCTGTGAGGGAGCTTTTAGAGGTGGACGTCTGGTTCCTATCACCACCACTGTGAACAGTTCTGACTCGGTACATTTATCTAGAACAGAGCGTTTCACACCAAACCACTCTGAACCCGCTCTGTTTACATCTTAACCAGTTAATTATGGAGAAAAATTTAGAAAATGGGTGGAGTTCTCCTTCACATTCTGCATTTTGTGTTCAATCTGCCTGTTCTGTTCTGTCTGCCTACTGTATTTAAAGGGGAAGTTCACCGATTTTTCCAAATTTTCTGCATAATTAAGTGGTTAAGATGTAAACATTCATCGTAAACTCTGTCGTTCAGAGCGGTTCTCTGTTCTAGATAAACTTGCCGAGTCAGAACTGTTCACAGTGGTGGTGATAGGAACCAGATGTCCACCTCTAAAAGCTCCCTCACAGAAAGTTCCTACATGAAATGGTTATGAATTCACTGCCTGATGTCTGAGGCGCTGCTGTAGCAGTCAGTGGAGCTGTGCTCGGCGCCTTGGCGCCCCCTGCTGGACACACAGTGGAAGCTGAGAGAGTTGAAATCACAGCTGAGGGTTTATTTTGTTCCAAAAGGTTCTTCTGTCTCCGACATAAATACAAACAGGAAATGGAACAGTGGACATTGTTTTTTTGTAAATAGAATAAAAAACACTTGGATTTATATACAGTCCGATATCATATTATACATGTACACACGCGCGCGCACACACTCGAACACACTCACACACTCATGCACTCGTTCAGCAGTTCAACACAGAGATGGGGGGGTGAAATTAAACTGTGACGAATTTTCAAAAATAAGTGATCCAAACTTCATAAATATTCATTTCGATCCTGAACGCTGTGTTTGAGTCCCACAGTCGCCTCACTGCGATTACACCGTCACCATGGAAACACACCCTCGCTAACATATTCATGATTCAGACCCCAAAAAAACACCGGCCCACCCCGAAAATAAAAAAGAAAAACACAAACAGGAAACACGACGATGCAAAACGAAAGGAAAAAAGGAGAAAAACAGAAAAAGATTTAGCGAAAAGAAAAACGTCTGATCTGCAGTCTGACCGCAAACGCGGTACAGTCCGGCGGATCTGTGGCTGCGGTGGAAAAACAACTTAAATACAAAAAAATCAGCACCAATTCACATTTTCACACGTTTGTGTAGAATATATAATATATAATTATATACTTTAGAGATATATAACAATATATTATAATACCTAATATAGCTAATTTAAATGGAGTATATCAGAGTCGAAGCACTTTACGTTTCTCTCTCTGCGAGTTTTTCATTCAGGCGGTAAAATAAACGATGACTCTGTGAAGACGCGCTCCGTCCGACCCGTCCTGAGCGAGCACTGGGGGGGGTTTGGGGGGGTGCTTTAAGGTTTCACCCTATAGGCCACGGCCGTGAGAATAAAGGAGCAATAGAAACGCGGAGACGTGTCGCTCCGGCCCGATCGGCGTCTCCCCGGAGTGCGACGCCGTCACGGCGACCGAGGGGGTTTCGTACGTTGAGGAAGATCCTCATTAACGAGTCCACAGAGGGAAATAAAAACAAACACAAACGAAAACACGGTAAGCCTCTAAACCCGCGTCCCACACAGGAAATCTGCTTAGAAACGTCGATTTAAATACTCGTCTCGAGTTTATAAAGTTCTGATTTACAGCTGATTGTCTTTAGAAAATAACCTACAAATCAAAAACTCTGCTATAAGTTACAAAAACAGAAAAGCCGTTTCTACACTGCCTTTAGAAAAGAGCGTCTGGAGCTGTTTGTTTGTTAAGATGAGTGTTGTGGCTGTTTGCGAGGCTGCGCTCCAGCAGGGGGCGCTGCACTGCGCCGTGCCGAGAGTTAAACTGCAGAAACTGAAGAGTTAAAGGAGGAAGTGCAGCCGGACTCCACAGCTGGACAAACAGGAAGTGTGTGTGCAGGAAGAGAGCGTCTGTCTGTCTGTCTGTTTGTCTGCTCCTCTGTCTCTCTCTCTCTCTCTCTCTGTCTCTCGCTCATCCACTCCGACCAGAGCAGAACGGATCAGAACATCGAGACGTTCAGCACCTAAAACACAGAACAACACGTCACGGTGGAGAAACACGAACCTGATAGATGATTATCTAAAAATCTGAACACAGAAATAAACTGTACATTTATTTTTACTGAAATGGAGCTGAAAGTTTAGAGAATCAACAGAATTTTGTATAATAATTTGATATAATAATAAGAGTTTGCATAATAATAATGATAATAATGAAGGGAGGAACAGAATAAAAGGACAGGGATGAATAAAGAGGCAGAAAGATGGTTGGATGGATGAGCAAATGGATAAATGGAGAGTAATAGATGGAGGGAGGGACAGACAGACTGATGGAGGATGGATGGAAAGGATGATAAAGGGATGGACAGAAGGCTGAAGAGTCTCACCGAGTCGTCCATGATGGAGGCGGGGTCGAAGTAATCAGGCTTGAGCTCCGAGCGCTCTCTGCGGTTTTTAGACGGAGGCTGCAAACAATCAAACACACACAGCAGATTAAACAACTCAGATGCGGCCATCACCCTCACCACCACCACCACTATTACCCTCACCATCACCATCACTATCACCACCCTCACCATCACTAACACCCTCACCATCACCCTCACTATTACCCTCACCATCACCCTCACCATCACTATCACCCTCACTATCACCACCACCACCACTATTACCCTCACCACCACCACCACTATTACCCTCACCATCACCATCACTATCACCACCCTCACCATCACTAACACCCTCACTATCACCACCCTCACCACCACCACCACTATTACCCTCACCATCACTATCACCACCCTCACCATCACTAACACCCTCACCATCACCATCACTATCACCCTCACTATCACCACCACCACCACTATTACCCTCACCACCACCACCACTATTACCCTCACCATCACTATCACCACCCTCACCATCACTAACACCCTCACTATCACCACCCTCACCACCACCACCACTATTACCCTCACCATCACCATCACTATCACCACCCTCACCATCACTAACACCCTCACTATCACCACCCTCACCAGCTCCACCACCATTACCCTCACTATCACCCTCACCATCACCACCCTCACTATTACCCTCACCATCACCACCCTCACCAACACCACCATTACCCTCACCATCACCACCCTCACCACCACTATTACCCTCACCATCACTAACACCCTCACTATCACCACCCTCACCCTCACTACACCCCACACCCTCACTATTACCCTCACCATCACCACCATTACCCTCACCATCACTAACACCCTCACTATCACCACCCTCACCCTCACTAACACCCTCACCATCACCCTCACTATTACCCTCACCATCACCACCATTACCCTCACCATCACCATCCTCACCACCACTATTACCCTCACCATCACTAACACCCTCACTATCACCACCCTCACCACCACCACCACTATTACCCTCACCATCACCATCACTATCACCCTCACTATCACCACCCTCACCACCACTATTACCCTCACATCACTAACACCCTCATTATCACCACCCTCACTACTACCCTCACGATCACCACCCTCACCATCACTAACACCCTCACTATCACCACCACCATTACCCTCACCATCACCACCACCATTACCCTCACCATCACCCTCAGCACCACCCTCACCATCACCCGCACGACCACCCTCACCATCACCCGCACCATCACCCTCACCACCACCATTACCCTCACCCTCACCCCCACCATTACCCTCACCCTCTCTATCACCACCACCACCATTACCCTCACCATCCTCACTATCACCCTCACCACCACCACCATTATTACCCTCACCATCCTCACTACCACCCTCACCATCACCACCACCATTACCCTCACCATCCTCACTATAACCCTCACCATCACCACCCTCACCATCACCACCACCACCATTACCCTCACCATCCTCACTACCACCCTCACCATCACCACCACCCTCAACATCACCACCACCACCATTACCCTCACCATCCTCACTATCACCCTCACCATCACCACCCTCACCATCACCACCACCACCATTACCCTCACCATCCTCACTATCACCCTCACCATCACCACCCTCACCATCACCACCACCACCATTACCCTCACCATCCTCACTACCACCCTCACCATCACCACCACCCTCAACATCAATAACACCCTCACCATCACCCTCATTATCACCCTCACCACCCTTACTGTCACAAACACCACCACCCTCACTATCACTCTGACAGACTGTAATACACTACAGAAAGTGTAGGGGGCGATATGATGATCTGAATTACAGACTAATCGTTAGCTCTTAGTAATTAACGTTCTGTGCTGTGACTGGCTGTCCTCATGTTCTGATTGGTTGGTGCAGTTCTGTGTTCTGTACTGTGATTGGTCGTACCAGATCGATGTCCATGGTGTCGAAGTCCATGCCCTCGTTCAGGTCTTCCAGACGCTGCTCTGATGACATCATCACGTCCTCCACGATCGGCTCCTCGTCGTCCTCCATCAGCCCTGTGCTTCGCCGACTGGGGTGAGCAAAACAACGACAAACGCGTTTTAATTATAACACCTTCAGAAACTCACGGTCACTTTAAACTCGGCGTGATTCGTCTCTGTGAAGCGCATAATAAACACTCGCTTTAAACCCAGAACCCTGCGGTTCTGCACGCTTACACCAACGAGGACGAACACAGGGGACGACGGGACAGACCCTGACACCGGACTGAGAGGGTGAAGAACCATCAGGGCAACCGTTAATCACAAAGGGGGGACAGAGAGAGAGAGACGGAAAGAGAGACGGAGAAAAAGAGAGGAGAGAGAGAGAGAGAGAGAGAGGAGAGAGGGAGGGAGAGAGAGAGACGGAGAGAGAGAGAGAGAGAAGGGAGAAAGGGAGAGAGAGAGAGAGAGAGAGAGAGAGAGGGAGGAGAGAGAGAGAGACGGAGAGAGAGGAGAGAGAGAGAGAGAGAGAGAGAGAGAGAGAGCGCAGTGTGAACAGACAGGTGTTTAACTATAGAGTGAAGGTAAATGAATGAGTCACTGTGACTCTGCAGGAGTGACTTTAAACAGCCGAGAGTCACAACATCAAACCACCTGCAGAGGAGAACCTGAAGAACCAGAGAGAGCAGCAGAACAGGAGTCGCTGTGTATGGACAGATTTACACACAGACAGACAGACTCATACATAAGGAAGCACTGACAGATATAAACAGACAGATATTTAGCTGGACAGACAGACAGACAGACAGAAGCTCTACTCAGGATCAGTGTAGTGCGGAGGGAGACGTTATTATTCCTGGTGTTTCTCAGTGAGTTTTATCGTCTGAATCCACCGTCAGTGAAGATTCTGTCTGTCACCTTCAATAAACACTCTCGGTCATATTAACCCCACGTTAACCGACATGCCGCTGAAATGATCCTGCGGAGACGGAGTTTCAGTGCAGACTCGATACGCAACGTTACCGTCCTGCAGTCCAACTCGGAACATGATAAAATGACAGAGCAAGTCTGATCCGACTTCATGCAGTGAAGTCGACTGTTCACTGTGACCCCCCAGCTAACGGAGACGCCGACGCCAGACAGCGGGGCAAACGAAATGACGGCGAAATGAAGCGCTTTAACACGTTTTCTCCTTTTTCTGGAGTAAAGGCAGCGTTACAGATCACAGACATCACAGACGACCTGCGGAACACTTTACCCACCTCCTCATGGAGAGCTAATCCTATCCTGACAGACAGAGAGAGAGAGAGACAGGGACTGGCAGACGCAGACAGACAGACAGATACATAAATACATTCACAGACACACAGACAGACAGATGGACAGACTGAAATGAAAGAGTGAAGCTGTGTGAAGGACACAGATTCTGTAATCTGTACTGAACGCTGGGTAAGTTGTGCAGAGCGCCCCCTGCCTGTCTCCACCTCAAACACTAGTCTACACTGTTAAAGCTCTCCTCTGATAATCATCTGTTTTTGCCAGCTCCAACGTCTGGGTGGCTTCACGCCGCTGGCGGCCTCACTGTCAGATCGCTGAGGGACGGAATGATGTTTTTTTAACGTAAATGTGACGCAGCATAAGAGTGATGCCCAAACTCCGTCCAAGAGGAGAACTGAGGGAAATTCTTTCTCGACAATCATAAATGGGCTTAAATCGTCCAGCCTTACTGAAAAATTCTGCTCTATGGAGCGAGGCGGGGGGCGGGGGGGGTCTTTTGAGGGAGACAAGGGGGGCATTTGCCCCCACTAAAATGTTCGTCAACTCACTTTCATTATGGAACAGCGACATTTGTCTACTATCTACTATGGATAGAGACCGACCTCCACGACACCAGGGGGCAGCCAACAGTCTGATGTGACCAGTTTTTAAAAGCACTGCAGTCACTAAGTTTAAGTCCTGCCGCGGTCGAGAGCCCAGCTAGCAGCACCGTCTCCACTCTGACAGCAGACAGTGACTTCTTAAAACTCAGGAAGCTCACGGGTGACTCGTGCACTCACAACACCCACCGAGGCCCACAGTGTCCACCGAGGAGGTCCGGCACAGTCACTGGATCAGATGTTGACTCTATGGGTCACTATGAGGAACTTATTTTGGTGTTATGGACAAAACGGTTCAAGAAATCCGTGACTGGTTTCAGGAAAATGATGTGGAAGCCTAATCGCACTGAACAACGTTCTCTGCTCTAGAACACACTGAACTACTGAATTATTGCATATTTATGTGTATTAACTATCAGTATTTATGCCTGTAGAGTTTTTTTGTGTATATTCTTTTTATATTGTATCACCCTTATTATTATAACTGTGCTGTGTTGTTTGACTGATACTGTCTGCTAAATGTCCTTCAGGATCAGTAAAGTATCAGTCTATCTATCTGAAGCAGGCGTGGCGTCTGTATGTCGTCACTGTGGATTTAACAAAGAGGACAGAAGAATCGGCTTCAATCAACGACCAGCACTTTTCACGGCCACAGATCTGAGCGACAGCTGAGTAAACGTCAGTAACCTCTTCAAATCACTCCTGACAGCGCCAGAGAGCAGCGCATCATGAGAAAGGAACTTTTCTTGCTTGTGTTGATTACTTGAGAAACACCCTGAGTCAGGAGAGACTGTCTGACCGAACACTGAAAGGCCATTCAAGTGGAAAAGTCGGTGCGTGTGATTCTGTGCCCGGGGGGCGCCGTCTGCGCTTCACTGAGGCTGAGCGTCTCTCACGACTTTAAAATGTTCCCAGGTTTCTAAAGCGGAGATCATCACACTGAACGGCAGAGCAACGAGAGAGAACAACACACAGAACGATTTTAGGCTCCGAATAAGAACTCAAACTCCCAGAATTCCTCAGATCACATGACACACACAGAGCTGAACTGGCCCTGTTTGAGCTTTAATGCACGGCGGAAGTTAAACTGGGCGTTGATCTGTGGAGAGAAGCGCTGATTCAGTGAGAGCTGGAGAAACGTTTCACTACAACCTGCAGCTGAGCTGAAGCTGTAAAGACACTGAGCTGATCTGGATCAACACCAGAATCATGATTTCGGCTCTGATCTGCTGTGTTTCACTCGCGGCTCCTCCGTCTCCGTCTCCGCTGCTCAGGCGCGTCTCCGCCTGTTTCTCCCTCTTCCAGCTCTGATTGGCTGATCGAGTCACTCGCTGAGTGAATCTCTGACCTTCTCTCACTGCAGGACTCATAAATATCAAACATGATTGATCATATCTGAGGGTCTCTGATCACTTCAGAGTTCAATCGAGGGGCTCACTCGTTTCTCCTCTCGCGCCGTCAGTCGCTTCAGATCGAGATCCCAACTTCCTATATACTTGACTGAGACTGTTTAACCCCCGACACAACTCTCAAATGTAGCCCATGGAGCAAGGTGTAACGGTGTAAAGGTGTAACGGTGTAAAGGTGTAACGGTGTAAAGGTATAACAGTATGAAGGTGTAAAGGTGTAACGGTGTAAAGGTGTAGAGGTGTAACGGTGTAAAGGTATAACAGTATGAAGGTGTAACGGTGTAAAGGTGTAAAGGTGTAACGGTGTAAAGGTATAACAGTATGCAGGTGTAAAGGTGTAACGGTGTAACGGTGTAAAGGTGTAGCGGTATAACAGTATGAAGGTGTAAAGGTGTAACAGTGTAAAGGTGTAACGGTGTAAAGGTCTAACGATGTAAAGGTCTAACGGTGTAAAGGTGTAGAGGTGTAATGGTGTAAAGGTGTAATGGTATAAAGGTGTAACGGTATAAAGGTGTAACGGTGTAAAGGTGTAACGGTGTAAAGGTGTAGAGGTGTAATGGTATAAAGGTGTAATGGTATAAAGGTATAAAGGTGTAACGGTATAAAGGTATAAAGGTGTAACGGTATAAAGGTGTGAAAGTGTAACGGTGTAAAGGTGTAGAGGTGTAACGGTATAAAGGTGTAATGGTATAAAGGTGTGAAGGTGTAACGGTGTAAAGGTGTAGAGGTGTAACGGTGTAAAGGTGTAGAGGTGTAACGCTGTAGAGGTGTAACGGTATAAAGGTGTAATGGTATAAAGGTGTGAAGGTGTAACGGTGTAGAGGTGTAACGGTATAAAGGTGTAATGGTATAAAGGTGTGA